CCTTTACCGGTTTGGGCACTGCCTCCGTGTAGACCGCCTTCGCTCAGACACTCAGGTGCAGCTTTAGCTTCATTCATGGCTTCAAACCAACTAAAAGTTTCCTTCTACTCAGTGTCGCTGTACCCTATCAAGTGGTTCCATTTCATCACTTCGCATTCCGTTTCACTCAATGTGATAAGTAAAAGACGGGAAATAATAGCGTCCACCTCTTCTGTTTCTGCTTTACCTCTCCTCCTCCTCCACCTCCTCCTCCTCTTCCTTTTCTCCATTTTCCTTTATCCTCGCAGATGTCACCTACCAATGACTTAGCAGTTTGTATCATTTGGGGCATTGCATCATGATCCAACTTCTGCTTCACTTTCCACTTCATTTCCATGGCTCCACGAAACTGATCGCTCCATTTGGTTTACCAATTCTCCCTTTGTTGTTGCGACAATAACCCACTTACTGTGTGACACTACTGGCACCAAGAATGACAGCGTCCACTTTTCCCTACATTTCTTTGTTTCATCCGTCAACTAGGCGTTGCTTTTTAGAATCTCTTCCTTTCAAAATGATCTAAATCTCTTTCCTGCACATCCGTCCCTCCCCTCCTCCCACCTCCCTCTCTCGCATCCACTTCTTTGGCCATGGCTCCACGCTGTTGCTTCGATTTCATCCTACTTCACTCGAACTGCCTCTTACTGGCTCCCATTCATCCAAACTCATTTGACTGCCCCTTCTTCACACTTTCCCTTTTCCCTTTCCTCTTTCAGCTTTCAGCTTTCATCCCACCTGCCTTCTCATCCATCAATCGAAGTAGAAAGCATTCTTGAGTTCTTGACATTTCCTCCCATCCGTGATTTGTCAAACAATTCAGCTTTGGTAGCTCATCTCAGTTCAGCTACCCACTTGTCACCCTTTAAAGAGGAGGTTAGAGGAGCACGTCCATTTCGCCTTTCATTCGCCTCTTGCGCTGCCAGACCGACCGACAGACGGACAGACGGAAAACAGCAAAGCCAAATAAGGCAATGCTGTAGGCGGCAGCTACTACTGCATTCACACGAAGTCCACACTGAAAACAATCACAGACAAAGAAATGGACAACCCCACAGTGGGT